GAGGGTCTGCCTGGGGCTCCTGCGTGCCCCTCCTGCAGCCCTGCTGCCGGGGAGCCTTGCTGCGGCTCAGTGCTGTCCCTGCTGCCTGGTGAGATTTACGGCCCAGCCGGGCTTTATTACACAGAAGATGCTTACGCGGGGGATTTTTTTCCCCCATAGTTTCTTAATTTGCTATCCCATAAAGAATGTGGATTTGTGACGTTAAATAGGGGAAGATCATTTACCACTCGCGGCTCTTACTTAAAGGATCCGCACAAGTTATTTATCATGTGCGCGCAGGCTGCAAGCAGCAGCGCGAGGGGACACTTCCCGGCCTCAGCATCGCTCCAGGTCCCGAGAAGCGGACTGCCCACAGCAGCCCCACGGCTTCGCCAGCCTAATGCTGCACAACTTCCAGCCTGTGGATGAAATCCACCTCGCACAGAGGCGAGAGGAACAACTCCAGCACTCCTCTAAGCACAGCTCCTGGGGGCAGAAAGAAAAACTCCCTCCTCCTCTCCCCACTTCCCCTGGGGACACGAGCTCTGCTCTGCGGGTTGCTTGCCATGCCCTGGATGTCCTGCAGCACCCAGCTGTTTGCTCCGCTAGGACGTGCCGCAGTCTGGGAGCTCCCCATCACTGCTGGGACATGCTGTCACCCACTTACCCACTCACTGCAGTGGGGACACAAGAGCTTTGCAAGCAGAAGCGCGCACATGGAGACGCAGGGCTGGGAGCAATGAAGTGGGGGGCTCCCATGTGACAGCTGGGTGCAGAGCAGCCTGGGTGCCCCTGCATCGGGGGGCAGAATTACCGGGGCCCAAAGCCCCTGTAGCGTGGCTGGGACGTATGGGAGCTCCTGAGCCCAGGCGTCACGGCTGGGACTCACTGGTGCCTGCCGTGCAACTTGCACTGTGTTTTAGTCAAGCCCCGGAGGAGGCGCAGGGGACCAATTCTGCTTGGGGAACTGCAACTGGAGGCTCCTGCTGTAAATGCCGTGTTGCCCTGACAGGTACGGCTGCTGCCCGGCAAGGCTTTTGGAACATGGTGTGTGGTGGAGAGAGATCGCCGAGTCCCTCCCCTCTGGCTGTGCTTTCCCCATCCCTCCCCAAGCCCATGCCCTGCAGCCTCTCCTGCACCGAGATCCCCCCTTTGCTCCAGCTGCTGCCCGAAAACAGGCAGCGAGAGGTGCCGGGGATGCCCCTTTCTGCCTGAGGGCCTCTGATGCCTGGAGACCTGACAGCACAGCTGCAGCCACGGGCAGCACGGCCTGGCAGGAT